CATCTTTTCTCAGGCTACTGTATACAAGAGCATAAAAATAAATGCTGGAAAGGCTTTAGAATCTTTTTGCGTAACAAAATAAAGCACTGCAAGGCATTTTTTTAAAAGCTTATTAATGGAACTCGTATAGTGTAGATTAAACATAAAAGGTCTTTTTCAAAATGATTTATGAAAAAGACCTTTCATGTTCAACTTTTCGATGAAACAATTGTGCAGTTTGTTATCATTCCGTAAACTAAAATTGATTTTTTTTTTGTATTTAGAAAACTGGTCACAAATGTTACGTTCAATTGCTGTGAAGACAAACAAACAATGATGAATTCTGAGGTGAAATTTTAAACTTTATAATGTTCGCAAAGTTTTTTTTGCTTTTTCTTTCAAATTTTTGTTTTTCTTCGGCTCTGTCTTAGCTCCGCCTTTGTTCTCTGCAGACCCGTAGTAAAGGACTGAATAAATAAACTAAAGAAGACTGCTCTCTGCCTAACAACTATTTTTTGCTATTTGATCTACTGTTAACCCTGTTTTCTTTCAAATAAACCTGTGTGAGAATGAATGTTTCGCATACCTGCTGCAACGTTCTTTAAAGCTTTACTGAAGTGTTGCAGGTTACAACAAATTCTAGACCGTTGAAAATTTTTCAAACAGTTATGGCCTTCTTTTTCAAAAAAATTGTTTTGCGGACTGTTTTCCTTCCTTTGAAACATAGAATTTACCGTCTGTTCGCTGTTCCCGTTGCAAATTTTGCTCATTCTGAATTCATTTCTCCCCATTTTCTTATTACTTTCCATAATCTGCGGCATTTCTTGTAAAACTGTTATAGTTGGTGGGTCCGCACGCAACACAGTCTCCGTCGTGTACATATTTTTAACATCTAGGCTAAGCATGTGGGTCGACATTATTAGGTTTATCGCAAGAGACATGAAACGCATGAGGAGGGTGAGGAACTCCATTCCAGTATATTTTTAGGTTTGTAATTTTGGGAAGGTATTTTATGTTTCTTTTGTCCAGCAGTTTCAGTGGGTCTCGCAGGGAAGCTGAGATTTATGTTGTCTTAACCTAGTACCGCTTAGACGGCACTTCAAATAACGCATCAAAATTTTTTGGTTATTTCACCATGAAAAGCTTTCCATTTCCAAAACTTTTCTTAAACAAAATACAGTTGTGCAGTGAAATGACTGCTAATTTTAGTTTTTTTCTTTCACATTGACTGACTTAGATGTTGTAAGCGAAGAACCTGAAAGATGATTTTTGGTTATTAAATGAATATTTACAGTTGTCATTAATGAAGTGACTGGTACAAAAAATAGCCTCTCAAATTATCATCTTTTTTACGGACTAGTCTTCTGAAAAAGGAATACAAATGGTTTCTGAGAAGAACCTATGACTTCATGTGATATATGTTACGCCTTCAAACAGCAGTGATTAAAGTGCTCAAAACATTTTTCAAGCGATTTATGTGTTACTGCACAACCAGTACTATTGGGCTTTTCTTTCAAATCCTTGGTTATTTTTTTACATTTCATTTCTTATGGCTTTCTTTTTTCCTTCCGTTGCCAATTAGTGTTATTTTCGCAGGTTTTTATAATATATATACAGATCAGTTTCTTGACTAAGACTGCCAATTGTAAGAGCAGATTTGCCGTATACTATACAAACGGATTTAATAGCTCGTAGAATAAACAAAGTTTTTACAGCACCGATATCAGGAGAAACTATGATTTTAAATTTTACAGTAACCAGCTATCTTGACAAATTGCCAATTTTCTCGAAATATTTACCTTTTTATATTTGCTCGAGATCTGTGGATATTCTCTGAGGGTAATTGTTTGACGCATGATTACTGCTGCAGAGGACAGTTTTTTGCCGTCCGTGGCGGCTGGAGCTGGGAAGCAAAGCCGTCGATTACCGATAAATTCCGCTGTCTAAATCGGGATTTTTTCCTTGGTTTAATCTGATCATAGAGTTCTTTTTTGGCTATTGCAGTGTTTCATTTTTATTAGACTGTAGCTACTTTGGGGTTAGACAGTAGTTACAATTTGAACAGTAATTTTTCCTGCTGGGTGAATAGGAATTAAGTTTAATGGTATTCTGAAATTCTTTTGTATTAGTTTGGTGAATTTTTTGCACTGACTTCATTGATGGACAGTGAATTTGGAGATCAAACAAATGCCAATGTTTGCTTAACGTTGTGTGCATTGCAAATTCTGAAATTACTAATAGTTATGCTTTTCAAAGAAAACTTCAAATCACAGATGCAGAGCTCTTCGTTCCTTATGATAGAAATACGGGTTGTGCAGAAGAGCAGCAAAACTGCTTGTAAAACTATGCACTGTAGGAGGGGAAAAGCACACTTAGTTTACAAACTATCAGTGGTCGTGGCTCATTCGCCTGTACCATGTTAAAGATTGTCTTTATTAACTCAAAAAAACTTACATTTTCTAATACAACAGCTGTTGTTGGAAAATCTTCTTTTGGAAACTTAAAACTTTTTCAGAGGGCTTTGATGAAGTGGCTTTTTCAGTGAAAATTACGCTAACTAATTGGTCGTATGTAGAAATATAGTGTAAGATTACTCTTAGAAACGACGGAATAGAACCACAACTTCAGATAAGTTTATAAAACCCTGAAAGAGACAATGGGGCTTTGAATTCTTCTCTTTCAGCCATGCTGTGGCTGATGGATTTTGAAAAATATTGGGTGGTCGGGAATATTTTTGGCAGATATTGAACATTTTTGCGAGCCGTAACGTTCTTACCGTCACTTTTGTTCTTTGTTTGGATAAAATGCTCATTTGAGTCTATTGGTTGATTTTTCTTAATTGTTCCATGTTGAATAAGCTTACTGTATGTTAAAATCGTTGCTTTAGAAGCTGCAGAAATGTTACAACTTTGGTTTGCAGTTGAAAATCCAAATATCAGTCACTGAGGATCCATTTTCTTTTTCCATTAATGTTGTCGGAAATTCTTTTCTCGAACTTGGAGCGGCAACAGTCAATAGGTGATGATATTTGTTGGCTACACCGAAAATTGTCATTGAAGACTGATCGTTGTTACCGGTAAGCAGGCTATTTGTAGCTGACTTACTGAAGCAACAGTTTAACTGTTTGTCAGTTGTTCAACGTCACGGCGACAGTTTCTGAGGGTCTGAGCTTTTTTTTTAGAACAGGAAGTAAAGCTTAATTTCGTTAGATAGACAAAACATTTCTGCGGTATTCCTTTGGCAAATTCTGTAGTTATTTACTTTTAGTTTGTCGTTACTTCACTTGTTTGATGTTGCTTCTTTTAACTTTAAAATATTGTATTTTGGATTTGCTTGTACGTGTTTCGGGCACTGAACAGAAAGGCTGCTACTGAGCGTTGTAGCCATGCTGAGAATACTAGCAATTTTCTTGTTTAGGTACGTATTTTATTGGAATGTTCATTTGGTCTGTTACTTTTTTTTTTTTTTTTTTTTTTTTTTTTTTTTTT